TGCGATCAGAGAGGGCGAGTTTGCCACGTACATCTTGCCATGTAACATCGGTAGTGTGCAAATCGGCAATCTGTTTTCCTTGCTTCATGCTCCAGTCAGCAAAAGAATGTGCACTTGTTCAGACAACCAAAAACATACTACAACCTGGCATAGAAGCCGCCTGATTCTCTGATGAGGGAGATAATATGGCCGAAAACTGGCAGCCTCGGACGAAGCACCGGGGGTTCACGAGGATCGAAGTTCGGAAACATAAGCTTCTTCAGCAGCAAGAACGCCGGTACTAACAGCAATGCCGCTGTGACTACAATCATCGAATAACTTCTACGTGCCGACTCCGTACTATGAGCGCTAACGTCTGCCATTTTTCGGGGAGATCAATCAGAGCGACACAACGCGCAGTATTGAGAAATAAACGTCAGAGCTCCCATCAGGCTTTGATCGAGGGTACGGCACGATCATATGGGAAATCCCCTCCCCTCATATGGCTAGGGGTGTTAAAACTTCGTTGCACACGCGTGTGGTCAGCGCTAAGAACGCCTCTCAGAGCAATCGTGTCACGAAAGGCGCTCGCCTATCATATTGCCGGTGGGATTTCTTATTCCAGCCACCGAATGAGGGCTGATATTGTATCAGATCTCGAGAAAGGCTGGGAAAAGAAGGGCTTCGTCATGCTTGACCTGTGGATCATCTGTTTATCCCCTTGTTTCTCTTGATATCTCGGGCTTGAGCTTTCGAATCTTCGTGAAGTCACGCTGTCAGCGAATATTTCATCGCTTCAGCTACCTAAGATGGCAAACTTCTGCACTCGCGCGAAACCGTCCCAATTCGTGCCCGATTCTACAGCAATCCACGAGGACAGTCTCCTGCCTGAAAGCCGAAGGCATGCGGCTGAAAAGAAGGGCCTTAGCGACGGAATGCTCCAGTCTAGCCTATTCTGATGGTGGCAGGCGATGATCTACGTCCACGCTCAAACGTGACAGCTTCCTTCCTCTTTGATATGATCCAGACTCGGGACTGTGATCGACACATGGTGCCTTGAGGTAAGATTTCTGCCGAACTGCTTGCGCTCCTGTGGGCCTTCATTCCAGCCGTTGTCCGACCTGCTCATTTCAAAGCAGTTTGAGATCACTGACAGCATATGACATCCAGATCGAGCTGTCCCAAACGCCATCCGAACCCTTGGCAACTTTTGCCCATGCTTTACGCCAATGGTGAGCCAGCTAAGTTCCATAGGAGGCTTTGAAGAGGGCACATTTGTCATTGAGAACTCTCTTTTTCGAGATCACGCAACACCAACGCCTTATGGCCATCCCAGCTACAGCGTGTGTACTTCGTAAGGTATATCCCAGGCAAACGGCCGGGATTCCTTTCCTAGCCCGTCAGTCTGGCTACTATAGCAGCGGGCTTTTGCATCCAAACGCAACGCACGAGAGTTCAGGGCTACACCTGCAGCTTTGCCTTCTACGCACCAGCCAGCCAATGTACGACCGCGGCATCAGCGTTGCAAAGCCAACGGGGTATCCAAGTGCTACAACTTCACGTCAATGCATACCATCTTAGCTTATGACTATAGTGCGAAACGTCTTTGGATTTGTTTCAAACCTAGATGGCACTGTCAACCACGTCTATGACGATTGATCCCCAAGAAGAAGTCGTTGATTAAACTCCGGGACTCACAAAGGCCAACATCGATTCGAGGAATGTTCGTCTCTGGGCAAAGGCGGATGTCTCCCCCGCCACAACATGAGATTATCTTCTAAGGGACATCCCCATGGACCCTCGATCGAAGTGTAGCTTCGCCTTTCGAAGTCTTCTTCGCTGCAACCTGGTTGCTTAAGACCCCTGGTACTTTGAGACGTGGGCCAGGAATTGACCGGCCACCCATCCGAGATTGTCGAGATGCTACGGCACGTGGAGACAGAGAACGATTGCGGGTGTGTTGAGCAAAGAGGCACCACACCGAGCCAGCTACGCACCATCGTGAAGATCAAGAAACCTCGCACTGGCAGCTGTCTTTTTCCACCTGGGGCGAACGGATTGCCAATTCAGTGCGGCAAGCCGTATGTCGGTATCTGATCCCTGCATGACAACAGCTTTTTGATGCTTACACTGCCCGCCGTTCGGTGAGCTCCAGCCCCTCACACATCACTACTCGGGTTTCTGTCACCCCGTTGTCACAGCGGGGGACGTGCGGTGTTGAAGTTGAGTTTGCGTCAGGACAGCCATGCATCCCTGACAAGGTCAAGCATCTCCCCAAGTTCTGACGTTTCGCATATTGAACTAAACGGATTGTTTTAAAAACAAGTAGTCAGCCCGTCGACGGTTGATCTCGCGCGCCACCTCCTCCGCCCGCCTATTCACCGGGACAAAATTTAACAAGCGTCCGATCCGAATCTGAAGAGTTGCAAAGGGCAGAACGTCTGCAAACGAGCTTGTGTACCGATAGAATGCCGAAGGGCTCAAGGCAGTATCACGGAAAGACGAAGAACGGGTGCCGACAGTGCAAAAAGCGTCGTGTCAAGGTACGGAATGATCCTATTTGCAAAGAGGCGGGTAGGCATGAGCAAGGCGTGGGCCGCCAATATCGGGACAGACTGGTGACGTGCATGTAGGAGTCCCGGTTTATTGGGTTCTTCCTTCAGCCAGTCACGATGTTGGTTAGCCGAGCAAGACATGATCGCCGTCTGAGTCTCCCAATACTACACTGTACTATCTCAGGGAGCTTGTTCTTTTGCTAACTTGACATGGGGTTCTAGTGCGACTGCGTTGGTCCCGTATGCGCCAACTGTCGCCGTCGCCAAGAACACTGCAGCTATCTCGGGCTACTCGCAGACGCCCTCAATCGCGAAAATGGAGAAAAGGCTAGCGATACCTTGAGTATGGTCCGCCGTGCCGCCACGGTTGCGGCGCACGCGTCTTCACGAGATGCCCTCAGCGCTTCATTACCTGCCGAGAAGCTTCGCGCCGACGAGGCCGAGCTCAAACACCACTTCCTGAACGAGGCCTGGTTCACCTTTTCATTACAGACCGATCCTCGAAAGTGCGACGTGTGGTCGAGATGGGTGCCGCAGCTGGCGTCACGCAACGTGTTCATCCATCAGAGCATGCTCTCTATCGCGGCCCTACACTTATGCTACCTCGAACCGCCAAACGCGAAGCGATACTATTCGATGGCTTGCCAACACGCCATACAAGCGAGCAACTATTTCCGGCTAGCTGTTCCTCAGGTCACAGAGGAGAACTGGCTGGCTACCTTTGTGTTTTCCATGTGCAACGGCATCTTTGGGTACTACCGACCGTTTGCCGACGAGAAGGTGATGGGACAGGTCAGCACGTTTGAGCCTTGCAAAGCTCTTACAGTAATGCGGATAGCGGCCAGATTCTCAGACACGGTCACGCCGCACGTCTTCAAGAGTCCTATACGGGACAAGCTAGCACAAGTCGACGTGAAAGTATGGCGCGACAGCAGCGACATACTGCTACGGCCAACCATACAGAAGAAAGCCAAGTTTGTTGAGTTTCTATGCCTAGGCCCCGAATCAACGGGGATACCAGTCGAAGACATCAAGATATACCTCGGGGCCCTCGGCGCACTCAAATCCTGGATCATGTCTCTCCCCGGACGGCCGAGGATATGGAAGCACTTCATCATCTGGCCGTCGCTGGTGTCGGAGCAATACCTCTCGCTTCTGAGGCTGAAGGAACCCGTGGCGCTCATGATCTTTGTCCTCTGGATCGAAGTCATGTTCCTCGCGCCGCGGCGATGGTACCTCATGCCCTGGTACGATCGCGGGCACGCCAGCGCGATAGCGGAGCTCAGCAAGCAGGGCGACACGCCCGCCCGCCGGTTCTGGGATGTGCTGCAGTCGGAGGATAGTCAGTCTGATACCACGGGCGAGGATTCCGAGGGCAGTGTGGGGTGGGCGAGTAGTCCGTCCATTGCTAGGAGCGACGACGTCGGGGGGCGAAGAGGCGGAATTGTCTCGCTGTCGACTGGAGAGGAGTATGTTGGGCAGGACAAAGCGTGTGGCGGTGGTAGCAGCGGGTATATGAGCATTCCGGCATTGGCGCAAAAGGCGAGCTGATGATGGCAAATGTCATCGCGTATATCGTCGGAACTGGTCACCTCGCGCACTTTCCATCGATGGCACTACTGTAAGGACCTGCAGGCTCCTGAACTGACAGGTGCCTAATAGCTTTTCCAGCGGGAGGAAAGAAACATACTCTGGTTTCGAGACCAGGTCGGGGGAACATTCCACGATCACGACTACATCTCGTGTTTGGCCTATATAATACGGCCCTAGTGACACTGCCCTCAAGCTGCGAAAGGTCGCGATGTGTGTTATCATGGCATGGCTGGGGCACCAATCTGACCGTACCGACCGATTTTTAATCGTCTACTTTTGGTCCGGTGTCCCATCGACGATCGATTAGGATTCTGGAGGCACGATGGACGAGGCGATCGCACACTCATCAGCACCAAGCATGTCAAGCCTGTTCTGCTCTAGCTATCAAGATAAACCAAATCACATACTAAATATTATTGTTTAACTGAATGTCATCGCTTCAATACCCTACACTGGTGTACACAGGTGTCCCTCAATAATGGCGGTAACATGATGTCTGCCAAGCACGTGCATCTCCATGTCAATAGCAGGTAGACACATCATCTGAGATGCCTGGCCCAAGTAAGGACTCGCTGTCTGATAAGGATCAATCCTGCATCGGCGGTTAAGTTCAGCAACCACTCAGAGACGGCCCATTTGAGCAAGTTTTCTTTGACATGTTCCTTTCATCACGTTACTACGCACCATTGCTGTGCTTTCTTGGTGCGCGAATTTTCGTACGCTCTGTACAGAGTACCTTTTACGTTTCCCATTGCCTTGGGGGTATAAGGTGCTGAGGTACGCGGGCGCGCCAATGCCTCTAACAGCAACTCCGCGTGAAGTAAAGGAGCGCCCGCCCCACCCCGCCCGTGTCGTGCCGTTGGACTGGGCTCGCTAGGAGGTGTGGGGTGACGGCATGCAGGCGGGAGGTTTCGTCCGGCGTCGGCGGGGGGTGGTAGGAAACCTTAGTTTCGGCCTGATGATTTCTTTTTCATACTGTTGTGAATGTGGACAAGTGTTACACATGTATGGATTCCAAGACATGCTTGAGTCCGACTTCTCATTGCTTCGAAGCTGGAATTCTCGGTAATTTCTGGACCGGTCGGCGGGAGTTAACGGCACGGAAGGGATGGGAGGGAGGGGGCAAGGAACCGATCCCGGAGGCGGGTGCCATCGGCTTTCGGGAACGACTCCGCCGGTGGGGTTCAACGACACATAGTTTAGACACCTCCACCCTCTGTGATTACTTCGCACCTCATAGGACGTGGAAGTGAGTGTACTGCATGAATACTGTTGGGAGAGCACTGGCCGATCCCGCCCCTAGAAGCGCTGGCCGAGCAAGCGGGCGGAGGTCTGAAGGGGGAAAAGAGCTCAGGATTGCGCATGTATGATGTCTTTTACCCCGCAGGAGATAGTCCAAAGTTCGTGCTATGCAGTCTCTTATCAATTGTCTATATAACATGCTCATATCTCGGTCGTCTTCCTCCCTTCTTTATTTTTCCCTCTTCTGTAACCAAGTTTCGTTGACCAGCTTCGATATACACACACAAATAGTAGGCCCATTTCCGTGTAACCGGACGCATACAGACTGACACCTTCACAGGAGGCACTTTGCCGTACAAGCATCTTCACGAGTATGTGAAAACTCTTGAGCGCAAATGCATGAGCCGGTGCCCACCCGAGCGCAGACGTCGCTACCATCACTCTTCCCCATGATGAGTTAGCAACCGATGCCGACGGTGTGGCTGAGAATATACGGCCTTGAACTTGATCTGGATAATACCAGCGAAAGGATCATGCACCCTAACACAAATAGATTACACCAAGAACACACCTACTCGAGAAGTTCTTCCGAACCCCAACGACAACAAAAGACAAAATGGCTCCTCCCGCTGCAATCTCCCCCGTCCGCGACTACGCCGTCCCCGTGATGGCCAATAAGTCCAAGCCCTCTACCCCCGTCCCCACCACCGCTGCCAACGCTTCTACCAAGGTGGAAGACATGTTCGGCAAGTGGGATACCTTCAAGTTCGCCCCCATCCGCGAGTCCCAGGTCTCGCGCGCCATGACGCGCCGCTACTTCTCCGACCTCGACACCTACGCCGAATCTGACGTCGTCATCGTCGGCGCCGGGTCCTGTGGTCTCTCCACGGCCTACGTCCTCGCCAAAGCCCGCCCGGACCTCAAGATCGCCATCGTCGAGGCCGGCGTCGCGCCCGGTGGTGGCGCGTGGCTTGGAGGGCAGCTATTCTCCGCCATGGTCATGCGCAAGCCCGCCGAAGTCTTCCTGGACGAGGTCGGTGTTCCGTACGAGGATGAGGGAGACTTTGTCGTGGTGAAGCACGCTGCGCTGTTCACGTCCACCGTCATGAGCAAGGTGTTGCAGTTCTCCAACGTGAAGCTGTTCAATGCCACCACGGTCGAGGATCTAATTACTCGCAAGAACGAGGATGGCAGCCTGCGGGTCGCGGGTGTGGTTACCAACTGGACGCTCGTCTCCATGCACCACGACGACCAGTCTTGTATGGACCCCAACACCATCAACGCGCCGCTCGTGGTGTCGACTACCGGCCACGACGGCCCATTTGGCGCGTTCTGCGTCAAGAGGCTTGTGAGCATGAAGCAGATTGAGCAGCTTGGTGGCATGCGCGGGCTGGACATGCAGAGTGCCGAGGACGCGATCGTCAAGGGGACGAGGGAGATTGTGCCGGGGTTGATTGTGGGCGGGATGGAGTTGAGTGAGGTTGATGGTGCCAACCGTATGGGTGAGTCGTCTCCTTTCACATACTTGGTTTGATGAGATGAGTGTTACGTTTTGCTAACGTCCTCGGGTGTTATTCAGGTCCGACTTTCGGTGCCATGGCTCTCTCTGGAGTCAAGGCTGCCGAGGAGGCTCTTGCCATCATTGATGCCCGCAAGAAGCAGAACGAGCTCTAGACTGGGGTAGTCTGATGGGACGGTCATTTTGTTTCATCCGAACATTGGAACATGGTCGCTCGCTGCTTTCCAGATCAGGTAGGTTTGGGTTGAGGTGACACGAGATTGGATACTTTGTCATGGTTTGAGATCAAGTACATAAGATACAACATTCAAGTATGATCTGAATACAGTCACTCTTTTGATACTATGATTGGAGGTATACCTGTGATGTGAAGATCGAAGAACCTTGACAGCTGTATGGCTCTGACCTTCAGAAGTATGCGATCTCTCAGGTAGTGGTGAAAAGGCACCTTGCTGGCTTACCTCAACCCACCTTGGGCAGTCAAGGTTGCTCAGGCATAGCGAAATCTAACTGAGTCAAGCATCCTCCCATAAGATCCCACCCCAGCAGCCAACTATCAAAGCCCAAACTACAGACATCTCTTCCACACTCCCTCACAACACCTCACATACCAACATGTCACCCAACATGGACATGACTACTATCGGAGCGCTTGTGACTGAGCGTCAAGCCAACGACTTTATGGCTTTCCGTGATGACATAACTGCCTGGCAGAACACGAGAAACCAGTACAGAAGCTCCGGAAAAGAGGTTCCTCCGGCGATCGCAGCCGTCACAAGCTGGATCGAAGCCCAACTTGAGAAAGCAGTCGGGGCCATATACGACGGCGTATTGGAGACAGCACACGTCTATTGTAACCGGATACGGTACGGAATGAGGGCCTTCGAACAGTTCACGCGCGAGGAGGCACTGTATGGCGGCCTCATCATGGAGCTCAGGCAGATCTTGAGAGACCACGACCTGATGAAGGACCTCCACTGTAGCGCCAAACGCCTGCCAGAACTATGCGTCAAACACGACATGAAGGAAATTACGCCTCAGGAGATTGAGGACGCACAAGATCAACAGGGTTGGAGGGCGGCCACGAATTGGTCGGACTTGATCCGGGAGGTCGATCGGGAGCTTCGCTGCACCGCCGAGTGGAATCATTGCTACGGAAGGTACGGGGAACGTGGCTGGCGAAGCACGCCTTTCGAATGTCCGCCAAAACCGAAAACGCCCTTCTCGAATGTGGCGCGGGCAGTTATCGACCTTTGCCTCGATGAGGTCAGCGAGGAGGATAACTGGGAGTCCGTCGTGGAGATTGTTCGAGAACAGATAACAACGCCGAATGACTTCAGCCCCTACACAAAATAATTTGGTGTGTTCGATTACCCGAGTTACCGAACGGAAGCGACATGACGGAACGTTCTCGTAGAGACCCATTACTTAGCTGGGCGACGCGAGACTATGGCCTCTGGTAGAGTAGAAGGTTGATGATATGAACCTCGATAGAGTGCAGAGAACATTGATACATTCACATTTGAGAAGATTGGCTGAAATACTCAAACCAACTGAGGCAGCCCGTTATAGAGAGCTTTCGCCAACGCGAAGGGGTACCCTCCTAATAATTCATTGAAGTCAAGGGCGCTTCTCAGTCTCGATACATCATACGGATTTGAGAAACGTTTCAATACTACAAGCCTAGCATTAGATACTTATGCAATTAGAAGTATTTGAAAAGTCCATCGTTCCGACATAGGTTGCTGTCGTATGCATCAATCTCAATATTTGCCCCAAACAGCTTACGACATGTTCATTTTCCTGTGGTAAACGATAGATCTGGAGAGAAATCCGGCAACGTCAACGCCCAATCAACTCAACACATGCATCAAAGGCGGTTTTGTCTTATTATTAGATAGTAAAGACCATTGATTCTACAAAGTGTTGACTTTCTTTTACTTGATTCCCCCTTTCAGTTCAGGAACGTAGTATTTACACATTGTATACCACTGCAAAGGCTCTTTGTGCTGAATAACAAGGAGACAATGAAGCGAGTCTGCAAAGATCTGCATTATTTGCTGCGTATAAATGCAACTCGTTTCGTCTTCAGTCTAGAGCTTTCCAATCCAGTCCATCACATTAAAGCAGGAATTCTCAACATCACCATTCAATTCCTGACCTCCAGCATTCCAGCACAATTTTCTTCACCATCATCTCCAGGCATCATCTGACCATCTAACCTAAAGGACAAAGCCCGACATTGCAATTGTCATCTCATTCATCCTCACAAGAATTCCGATCATCATGTGTCTTATCCTCCAGCCAACCTCCCAATGCAAGGTGTGTCTCCAACTCACCCGACTCGAAGACGTAAACCAATTCTGCGCCAACACCGTCAACATCCCTAGCGGCACTAACTGGGCCAACATCTCACCTTCCATCCTAGGCTCCTGCGGCACCCTAAAGCTGACGAGAGTCCAACGTCTTGCTCAGTTCGTCTGCGAACACTGCCGCTGGTCGGCAGAACAGGCAGCCAAGGACTTTTACGAGTTCCTCTATCCGTCGCCGCACAAGTACTTTGGAGAATCGGCCCACGGCTTCGCTGAAGAGTTTTTGAGCCGTCCGAGTGCGCCTTCTCCCGGGAAGCAACGTCCGTTTCCCCGGAATAACAAGGGTAAGTCTTACAGCTTGCCTCTTCTAGCCAGGATCGCAATCTCGAGATTCCCGATCCCAGCTGGGTCGGGTTCGCCCCAGTCTGAGGCGTCGTCTGAGGCATCAGTCGCCACGACGCACTTGAATCACCTCTCAACTCTGGACCCGCCGGCGAGATCCAAGTATGAGTTCCACTCTTCATCAAGTGTGTATTCATGTACTAGTGAGTCAAGCGATGAAGACAGTCTGGAGGATAATCAGAACGACAGCCGATGCCTTCTATGGGCCAATTCGGTAGACCTTATGAACAGCAAACAACAGCCACCACCTCTGAACATGCTGATCGATCAGACTCAGAACCTTCCGGATACCCCCAAGTCCGCCAAGCAACTCCGGGTCATATCATCTTGGGGCGCGAGGGCCGCTCACAACCCCGAAGAAGACCCCTGGTGGCTACCCGAGACCTGGGGTGCCATACAGGACCTCACCGACGATCTTGTCGAATATCTCAGCAAGGCTGAGCTTATCAGCACCTTTCACGGCCACAGTGTTCACGTCTCTCGCAACGAAAACGATACAAGTGCCTGGGACGAGAGCCTCACCGTCATCATCGTGACGCCTGGAGGAACAAGAGCCCGCATCATGACTGGGGAAGTGTATCAGCAGGGCGTAAGCCTGGCGGGCCTCCGCATGATTGATCGGGCTCGGTACCAGCACATCTCCAAGAAGGAGCAGAAGCATATGGAAAAGGCGGGACTCGGCTGCATCTTCTACCCGTGTAGAGTCGCGAGTTGTCCGCTCTCTCATAAGAAAGATCAGCATCAGCCGTGGCCTTCGAATGGCGAGAGCTTGCTTGCTGGCTTAGAAAGGGGATACCGGATGCGGAAGAACTGGAAGTCTCGGGCTAGTATTTCTGCCTCTATGGCGCCGACGCCGACTCCTCGTCAGTATTCAACCCCGTTTCCTGTTCGAGGTCGATCGCCTGTCGTTGATGGGGGACTTTCCCGCCGTCGACCGGCTCCGCTGGATCTGACAAAGACAAAGGAAGTGAGATTCACTGATGCAGCAGATGTTACTGAATCGACCTGGTCCCGTGGAGATGTGACGCCTCATCCGAGCAGTCTTCAGACAGCAATCTCAGATGAGGAGGAGGAGGGTCCCCTCACGACGCCTGACTGGTTCGAACCTCTGATGAACACACCACTCAAGGTGAAAGGCGATATGATGGTGAAGTACGGGGGTAGAGCTGGTAGAGTTCGACCCCAGAACTACGACTTGAACCCGGCCAGCGAGAGCAATGAATCACCACTTCCCCATGTTCGTTCCGAGACAAGTCGACAGCAGATTCCCCAGACTTGGGATGCCTCAATCTTTGGGCAAGTATACAACGCCAGAAGGGCTGCGGCTGATTCATCATGCGACGACACCTCCAAGTTGCGTGCCCTACCCATGCTCTGAATCAGTTATGGATTTCAAGCCCTGATGAGGATGATACTGACACCTGTGATCCCCCATCTCGGTAGGTAAGTGATTGGGGACGGTTATTGACGTTTGTGGAGTATGAGCTGCGTACGGGTGTCAAGGACGATAGTTACACGAGAATCCATGGATTTCTATAGTTGGGCTAGAATTACTACATGATTCAATAGACCATTCGTTTCAAATCTCACGCTACTGGATCCTTCGGTCAACTGTTTTAAACCTGATTTAGACTAACGATGCTGTATGTGGTCCTAAGCCATAGAATGGTTCTAACCTGGCGCCGGATTAAGGCTGATCGGCATCTTGCTTTCTCTAACCCCCCCATTTCCTCAGAGCGAAACCCCCCTCTCCGCCTTTATCATTGATGCAAGTAGGTGTCGATTTGATTGCCGAGAAGAATAGAGGTGTGTATGTGGTTCCTAAAACACTAGATGTTTAGCAGGTTTACATCTCTTCATCGCAACTACTACGTACTGTTTTTCAACACGAATTTCCGTGACAATACCGTTACGAGCTGCTTCCATATTGGTGTTCGAAAAAGATGGAGACAATTCACGTTTCGTGTGGAAAAAAAGACGCTCTTCTCCAGGTTCACATCCTCTTCTTGCTCGTACACTTGAGTGGGCCAAACTTGTTCCTGGTGGCCTCCCACCACGCGGCACCGACCATACCCTCGTTGCAAATCCCCACCGTCGCGAAGCGCCAGGTCATGATGCCCTCCCACTTGTTCTCGCAGCCGGAGTCCGGGCTCGGGGCGCATACCGGGAATTTCTTGAGGTTGTCCCAGAGACCGCCGCAGATGTCAGGGATCTTGTCGACGTCGGGGACCATGGCGTGGATCATCCACTTGCGGTTGAGGTTCATCATCTTGAAGTAGTTGCCCGTGCAGGTGGGTTGACCTTGCTTTAATACCTGCGTCTGTTGCCCCAGCACGCTGGTGATGGAGAGGGCTATGGCGAAAACGGCTGTTGCGGAGAACTTCATGTTTGATGGTTGTTGTCGTAGGTCTCAATTCTTGTGGATGGATGCGATAAGTCGTCTTCAGATGGTTGTGTCTGAAATGTGGTGTTTGATTTTTCTTTCTTGAATGGTATAAGAAAGAGAATTTCAAAAGCTGACCGCTGTCCGGCATTTGTGTCATTAAGTCTATCCAGAGAGGTATCACCGACTGCTTCCAAAGTCGAGTGTGGGACGCGGCTGGCTTTCTTTGGATCTTGGGTCAACCACAGAAAACCCTTCGCCACAAACCTTGTGTGCTGGCTCACCTCCATCCCCAGCCTGACCTTGATGGTGCATCTCATGTTTCTTTTCGTGACATGAATGCATCTCGGCGTTCTTCTCTGTGCTTGGAGTCTGTCTAACTTCCCTCCATGATCACCAAGTGTAAGACAGCGTTCAGCTCAAGATCCTCTGACATTCAAGTTTTAACGATATTGAAATGTTGATCGCGGAAACAAGGAAGAAGACCTTTCACCAACTACAAACCCATACTAGATTTTGCAGGAACCAAACATGAAAGGTATCGTTCTACTTATTTCTCCACCATAGCCCATACAAACTGAAACTGAAAGTCTCAAGGTAGCAACGAGAAAACTTACCCACCTCATCTATATCACGTTTTCTCTGCGCGGACACGTCTGCAACGCTTGCCGGTTCTTCAGGAACAGCTTGTGGCCTTAGACAACGGGACTATCAACTCAGAACAGCAAAAATGCAAAAGTTGGGCCCTAACCAGGATTCGAACCTGGGACCTCTCCCAGATAGGTGAATCCGAAGATGTACCCTGAGGGAGAATCATACCGCTAGACCATCAGGGCTGCTGAGTCATTGAAGACTCGTGGTGTGATGCTCAGGGCCCCAGGGCGAGACCCTATGGAGGTGAGGAGCTCCTCTAGTGGGAAAATTGGTGATCGTAAGAGTGGTGCTGTGGCGGTGGTGGCTGGTGCGTGAGGGCGGGTGGATTTGTGCCCGTCTATAGGCCCGGCGGTGCACATGACTCTCTCTCTGGTCAAGGTAAACGGTTGCTCTCGCGAAAGTAGCGCTTCATTGCTTTGGGGCCCATGGGTGCCGTGGCAGCATCAACTGCCAATTCGCCCTTCATTAAAGCGTTGTCCCGTGCTTGATAGCGGTGACATCAAATTCGTGTGCACGTCAAGTGCATTGGGCGCCGCCTCGCCCCATATCCCAGGGGAAGACAATGGTGAATGCTGTTTTGTTGATCAGTTGACAAGTCAGATCGAATCTCAGTCGAGTCCTCGACGGCAGGCCCAAAGCTGTCCCAAAGGGTGAATGATCTTCAGGAACAATTGTTGTAGGCACATTCCACCTGCCTCCCTGGGCAACCACGCGGGCCAAGCACCAAAGGGAAACAATGAAAAGGGAAGACTATTCTTAGAGGCAAACAACCTAGGTCCCTCCGGGTAATGCCACATGGGCGCGCATTTGGTCCGGGTGCGGCTCCCCCTTCTCTGGCGCCGTCGGGACTCTACTGCGTACACAGCCGCAAGCCAAGCTCCCAGGAGAAAGATCGACTCGTCCGAACTTGTTGTCTTTCGCGGTAAACAGCGATAAGCTCCGAACCCCCAAGGCCATCCAAGAAACACCGTTTTGACGGGCTCCCTCCCGCACATGTCTATACCTACGCTCTTAGTGCCCTGAATGCCTGATTAACAGCTGGTCCTGCAGTAGCAGAAGCAGCCAGCCTGCAGGCCATCGCTGGACCGGCGGTAGCTCCATCTGCCCTCAGTCCTGACGAGGCCTATGACGCGTTCAGGATTGCCACTTGCCCACTGGCCTCTGCTGCCAGCACTGCCCCAGTGGAGAAACGGAACAGAAGGAATCGCAGATTCGCACTGCACAGAAAAGGCTCTTCCTTGGAACCAGTTCGAGAGGGGAGGGAGAAGGGGGGAGGGATTTCGGATAGCGACCAGGTTCAATGGCGATTGTGTTCCCACCTGGTGGACCGGGTCGCCGTATCCGTTACGCTGAGCGGCTTGAACGGGCTTCCGCTGGGTTTAGCTGGGAAGATCCAGACCCCATCGGTTCCTGGCACTCCCACTTTCAACCACCCCGGCGGCGTACGGGCCGTTGTGCGGCAGCGGCACTGGGATCGGAACATGGGAGAAGAAAGATGGGACGCCGTGAGTACGAAGTCTCTAATGAGCTGTGTTGCACTGCCGAGGAAACATCCTGCGAATATTGGAAGAGCAATATGGTAAGCGAAGGGAGGTGAAAGGGAAGAACTCAGGGAGAGATGGAATGATGCTCCATTGGCACAATGCATAGCAAAACCCAGCCAGGCGCCTCGGTCACCTTGCCTGTTACCCTGATTTTGCTCTTCTTGAATGGTATGTGTCCGTATCCGTACAGGCAATCTCCAATCCCTCACTTCACAATGCTGTGATATTGTCTCCATCAGGCTGTCTCCATGAGATGATCTTGACGATTGAATGCGTCTATGCTGCATTTCGATGCTCCGAGATATCGAGTCTTCCGAGAGGCTTGCAGATAAGACCAGAACACAACTGAGGGGTTTTCGGGTGCCGAACTTTGCATGCTGACAGCAGGTTGAAGGACGAATAGGACGTCGATGAAGGGGTATTGCGACTATAGGGCTTGGATATGCAACGTCATGGAAGGCAAGCAGTGACGACTGTCTCTGAAGTTCGGGGCCGTCAACTCGCCTGTTCATGAGCATTTGGGTGAGAGATTTAACTTTATGCACTCGGACGCCTCCACCGGATCTCCACCAGGGAAAAGTCTCTGCTTTGGTCGGAGTCATGGAGAGAAATTGAGAAAAGCAAGAAACGGAAACCTGGAGTTGGTACCGCTCTAGACTTCTTATCACGTCTGGAAAGGTTCGAGAAACCTGAATCCGGTCCAGCGGACAGCAAAACACTGCAGGTAAGCAAGGCAGAACTTTGTGCGATTCTGCAGGTCGCTTGTGGACATGTGGACGGGCAGCGTCGATCTTCCCGTCATAGCTCGTGCTTCTCTTGAGTGTCCCGTCGTGCAAAGTTGGAGTGTGGTGGCACTTTGTGGGTGCCATGTTTGTGGTCCACCGACCAAGTCCAAGATTTCGTGTTCCGGTTCCAGGTCGAGGTCCAGGTTCCAGGCCCAGGCGCTGGAGCTAAGTTGACTGTTCCTGACATGGCGGCAAGCCTTTTCCCCTCTCTCACGCAGCCAGAAACCTAACGTGCGGGTGTGCCTGGCCGGCGCGCTTTTCCTGCCGGCATTTGTTGGTGTGGGATCCATGGGGCGTACGGAAAAGAAGGGGACTTTCACTCGACTCGAGAAAGACACTGATGCGTTGTCCAACAGCAACGGGATGTTTTCATCCCGATGTGTGTGTGATGTGGCTTTTAGGCGCTGAATATCCGCATCACCCCAAGATGAGATGGAAATACTTTTGATGACGATCCATCAAACCAAACAAACCCAAGCTTTAGTATCTCATCTTCCCAGTTGATAATCACCCATTGGCAGGTCCGCCGTGTAACGGTCTAGTGATGCTTGGCTTCTGGTTGGCTTGTGAATGGAATGTTACTGCGACCTTGAGGAGGGATTGGCTTGGACTCGAACCTGGGACCAAGCTTTGGCTGGCCGTGGCCCTTTTGGAATTGGCGTGCGGTGAAATTACCTTCCCCACCCCCTTTTCCCGCATCACCGTCCAATCCTGCCCTGGCGCCGGCGGTGCACCATGATCCATCCATGGCCCATTTCCCTCCACCATCCGACTTACCCATGTCTCCCTACTGGTTCCTGGCTCCCACACGTCAAGAGGGAGGTGTGTGTGTCTGTGTGTGCGTGTGCCTGAGTTGGCAGAGCCAAGCTGGCAAGCAGCGAGAGAAACAGAAATTGTTCCTGGCCCGGCCTGTCTGGCCCTGGAACCAGCGATGCCCCTCTCCACATCGCCTAGCCCTCTCGGTCATCACTTCTGGACCTTTACCCGTTTTGGTGTCTGTTCCTGGCTAAGCAGGGTTGTTGACGGGTTGTGATGGGCTGTTAATGGTGGATGATAGAGCAGAACGCGATGTCTTGGTGACGACGCCCCTGTCAACACACCAAGTTCCCCCAGTTTGACAATGTCTCTTGCTAACACGCCTCGCAGAAGGGCGCTTCGAGTGAGATTATTTCCATCCCTTCAAAATGGCTCTCATCTCCCTCCCTTTTCTGGCACATCCCGGTTTCTAGTTTTTTGACACCACCACTCTCTCTTCAAACCATCGTCCAAATCCGCGAGTTATCTTGATAACCCGCTGTCACTCTTTTCCGGACGGGTCTAGCAAACAAAAACACAACGTTTAGCATTCTTAACCACCAACGAGTTTTACGAATCTCTCCACGATCTCCCGATAGTTCAAGATGCACTTCACCTCTGCCGTCGTCCTCGCGGCCGCCTTCGCCGGCGTGTCTGCCCACCCTTCTGCCCACAACCACCAGAAGTTCCACGAGCGCCGCAGCGCTGACGCCGTCGAGGAGCGCGACCTGACCTTCATCAAGAACATCCTCCCCTCCACGACTCCCTCTTCCACCTCTGCCGCCCCCGCCGCTACCTCTGCCGCTTCCACCGGCGGTGTCTACACCCCCTTCTGCAGCGGCTCCAACAGCAAGCGCGCCACCATCGCCGAGATCGCCTACTCTGGCAACACCGGCAGCGCGGACAACTGGGGCTGCAACATGCAGATCGTCAACGACGCCAGCGTCTCCCTCTACAACTACACCACTACCTTCACCGCGAGCGATGCCGACTACTCTTGCTCGTGCTTCAACAAGATCGGCCCTAAGGGCCTGATCGACGGCTGCTGGTTCGCCGCGATTACTTTCACCGTCAAGGAGGGTCAGTCCAAGAACGTCGCCTTCGACGCCGACTCCCAGGGCTCATGCGCCTGCGGCTCCGGCTCCACGGTCCCCAAGACCCCCATCGGCCAGTTCGCTGGCACCTGGCTCGAGTTCGACTGGGGCTCCACCCCCAACGGCGGCAACTCCGGTGCCGACGCCTCCGTCCTCGTCGCCGGCTCTCAGAGCATGGCTTACTTCGGCATGAAGGTCGCTGCCAACGGCAAGACCTGCTCCTGGGTCAAGTCTGACGGCACCAACGAGGGTGCCTACATGCCTGGTATGGAGGCTGAGGATGGTGTCGGCTGCAAGGGCTACTACAAGGGCCACCTGGACGTCACTCTCGGCGACAAGTTCACCGCGTAAGAAAGGTTCATCCTTTTCTTTCCGCCTGGTCCAGTCTTCTTCCCTTGCCTGGGGTGAGTTTTTCGTCGGGGAAAGGGGGTCATCTCACACAAAACCCACGCAAAAAAACCTCGCCACGATGACGAAGCCCAGTAATGGATGTTTTCCTTAATCTTCAGAGCTTCTTGACGGCGCATGGGATACCTCTTTTCTTTCGGGGCACATATTTTGGATGGTGCGGCCTATTTGCCATTGCCCCTCGTGCCCACCACCAGCTTTTTCTGCTTTGGACATTTGTGCAGATTTCTCGGGATATGGGAAAAAGCGTTAACGAACAAGACGGTTGGTTTAAAGGGACGCCTTGTTCAACGGAACGGTTACATAAATCTAGTCCCCCTACCTACCCACACATATACCTAGTGTCTGCTGCTTAATGCGACATCAAAAAACTCATCCTTTAACACCTACTTAAGCTTGCCTCCCCATCTGTGCTCTGCGTTCATGTATCGTTCATCCCGTCATTCGTCTCAAATTTGATTAGCAGTGGGCTTGCCGTGTCTAGCGAGGCACCGCTGGGGATCAAGCTTCAGAACCGTTTCATCCACGACATGGGATGTCGGCAATGCTTGTACGACCCGATCGATTCACTGTTATCATCACCTGAGTCATTTATCTGGCTGTCTCTCAAATCTAATGACAAGCCGGAAGCAGCCTCTCATACCAGTAGGGTTCTCAAGTCCATGGACCTAATGTTGATGTATACAAGGCATACGGCATGCTTTTTGAGTGCTTTACATTCCGTTTTGTCTACCCCGCCGCCCCCAACAGCAAAGAAAACAACCCCACCCCTCATATTCAGTGGCAGTCGCAGTCACATGCAGCTTTTAACCACCGAGAAGCGTATTCCTTGCCAAAAATTTCATCTGCATACATTGAGGCTCTCATCTACGGTAACTAGCTGGAGTGGTTGGGACCACTAAGGCTTCCTTCCCTGTTCTGATATTATCATCAACGACAGAGACCATGGTCACCCCCATGACAGCGTTATTAGCGGACTCTGTGAGCAGTATCTTATTGGTACCGAATCTTGACTTAACATCAAACTCAGGACTCTTCTTGTGGCTGTTGTAAGTGATATGAGTGAGGTTCCTATGGATGGAAATCTTAGAATGAGTCTTCTCTTTCCCATCCGTAGCCGCTACGGTTTCCCGCACGTGCCCCACTTTGGTTCCGTGGTTGTGTCACACTGAACGACTTTTGCCGCTGAGTTAATTTTTGGTTCGACATCATCTCATCCAGCAGTGTAATTCAACAACTCATACTTATCACCACTAGCACAACGAAAGCTCTGCATGGTGCTGAAACTTACGCAATGAACGAACTTTCGATTCAGCCCTCGGGCATCTTCTGGCAAGACGATTATATTACAGCCGAGCATGAGGAAAAGTTAGTACACATTTTTCGCAACGAGCTATCATGGCCAGACCGATCTGGGCGACTGTCTCTCCACTACGGCTACACCTTCGACTACAAAACATTCGGCGTGGATCCCAACGTTCCCTTCAGCCCTTTCCCGGACTGGCTGGAGCCGTTAATTCCTACACGCGAAGGCAGACCACCGGACCAAGTTTGCCTGCAACACTACCCACCCGGCGCCGGCATCCCGCCCCATGTCGATACTCATTCCGCATATGATCAGCTATATGCGCTATCTCTAGGATCGCCCGTCATGATGCAATTCGCCTTGCCACCAGACGATGGCGAGGAAGGAAGGATGGTGGAAGTAGATCTTACCCCGAGGAGCATGTTGCAGATGTCGGGAGACTCAAGACTGCATTGGAAGCACGGAATCAGGAAACGGAAGACGGACACGTTGCCTGATGGAACGGTGCGGAAGAGAGAAGATCGGTGGAGTATCACGTATCGGTGGATCAGGGAGCCGGCCGTATGCGGCTGTGGGAACGCAAAGCTCTGCGACACTGCGCAAAGAGAACTAGGCATTGAGAAGGAGTATCGTTGGAAGAAAGGCGACGAGGATATCGTAGCGGGCGAGGAAGAGAAGATAGGAACCAAGGCTTCATGAAATGATTGGAACTCTATCTGCATTGATGTTCTAAGCCGAGTCATCCTCCTTCACATCAATCTACTACTATAGTCATATTAGGACCCAAAACTTGAGCCGTGAGTATCAAGACCAGGAGTTCATGGCTTCACAGCGTAGAACCTGCGGTAAGCATCATCAACTCTCTCCAGGTAGTACGTTCCAGGAGCCATGACTTCTATACTTCCAGCAGGCTCATAGCCTTTGGCGCCATATGCCTTCAATCTGAGAGAGCAGGCCTGCGAATTGGTGGTTAGTAGCGTCTCGCGAAATCCTTTGGTTAGATTCACTCTCACCTCTTCATACTGCTCAGGATTACAAATCTCACGTTGCTCGAGACGCTTCATTAGGTCAATCTTCTGGACCATCTCGCTGAGATCTCCCGTAATCTTGAGCCCATAGAGAGTGCTGGCAATACCGCTGCCATACTAATGTCGCGTCTCTCGTCAGCAAGGTATTCGCCCATGAATATTACAAGACTTACACTGAACATGCCGATAGTCTTCCCGACACTGTCTCTGAGATCGATGTTGCTGATCAAGCTGATGAGAGAGCAGTACAGACTAGCTGTATACATGTTGCCGCATAAAGTGGGAGCGGCAATGCAGGGCTCAACTCTCGCTTTGAAGAGATCCTTGGACTGGGTGACAAAGATCTTTTCAAGTTCCTTGCTCTTCAGAGACTCCTCGTAGCTGAGCCCGCGGAGCTCTTCCGTCAACGTCGCCTCCCATCGGCTCTTGTCACTATCCAGTCGGAAGTCGTTGTACAACAGTCGTCCATACGACTTGCTCACAATCTTGCAGTTGGGGGTGTGAAATGCCATGTAGTCGAATATGTTCAGCAGGTTGTTAGTGTCAGTTTTCGGCCCAAGTCCGTTCATGCGTTGGTTAGCTGCTTCTACCTTCTCACGAAGACGTTGGTAGCAACCGTCCAGCGCCGACATATACGACCGAAGTGACTCATGTCCATTGACCAGAGGAAACTCTGCCTTGAGATCAGGCTTGTAAAAGTCGTAGGCATGGGTCATGAAGGTTCCCTTGAGCGCCGGCTCCATCGAAAGCAACGCATTGGGGCCCACGAGCATGGCGACACAACCGGCACCGCCCGTGGGACGAGAGGCGGGCTCGTTGTACAAGGCAATATCTGACGCAACAACGATAGCGTTTCGGCCGTCCCACGATCTGGACTCGACCCAGTTGACAGCGTTGAACAAGGCGCTCGTGCCACCGTAGCATGCGTTGATGGTGTCGATACCTTCCAGGCTGGTGTTCCCGGCAGGCTCGAAGAGCTGGGTCAGCACTGTCTTGACAGACTTAGCTTTATCAACCAAGGACTCTGTGCCAACTTCGAGGCGACCAATCGAGTTGGGGTCGATATTGTACTTTCGCATGAGCGAGGATATGGCAGTGAGGGCCATGGAAGATGCATCTAAGCTGGTTAGTAGCCATCGCTGGTATGGAAGACACCAGACCCAGAGCCCAACCGAAATTAGAGTACCCTGGACAAGCGATGACTTACCCTCACGGTCGTTGCAGAAGTTCATATATTTGAGGCCCAAGCCAATGGTGTATTTACCCGCTGAGACGCCTTGGTGCTGTTCAAAGAGAGACTGGTCCAAACACTGGAGTGATTGGTGTCAGCTTTGATAGATGGTATATGGATATGTAGAAGGAGATGCGGACCTGTCCAGAGACGTAGATTTCCATGGCTTTGATGCCAACATTCTCAGGATATGCCATCGCGAATGTAGAAAGTATTTGCTCCTAAACAGAGGGTAAAGACGTAGAACAATGAAGATGTCCAGAGTGTGAGACCCAAATGATAGATGCAAGATGCAATAGTATATTGATATAATAACAAGACTTGTCAGCTTAAATCTCATGCACTTGAGCCGTTGGAGTCACCGAATTCATATATACACAGATTGGACTATACTGGCAGGAGCTTGATGCTGGGCATAACCAGAATTTGGCATCTTGAAAGTTAAAAGCACAGCCCACGAGATAGGTTTGGATGATGAGATCGATATCATCCGATTGTTTCCCCATGACCAGCTGAATGTCTAGTTCGACAGCCTTCTGTGTTAGCCAATTCAGCTTCTCGATACGGAGAATGATGATTTCTCTTGCGGAAATAAGCTTGTTCTGTCAAGACAGTCCCTAGCGCACCCTGACAAGCTGAAGCCGTTGCTTGATCCTTGTGTGTTTCTACTACTCAAGGTTCGTTCGACGGTCCGCTTACGGACCAACTCAGGTGGATGGAGATACAAGCAAAGATGCTGATTCGTTCATTGTTTCCGTTTTTCGATCCATCAAAATTGCTTGGGAACTGAATCTGGTATCTCATGGATCATACGCCATGTTTCAGCAAGGGTATTTCTGATGGTTGTGGAAACCGTTGGGAACTTTTGCTCAGGAACCAGTCGGGCGGACCAATCCGCAGTCCAAGGTGCCTTTCACTACGGATGCATCCGCGACCCCACATCATAGTCTTTCTGCGACTCCACGAATTGAACTGCTACCCCATTGCCAAGCTTTCCGTGGAAGCCGTGCCGTCATGACGCGGAACGTCAGACTTCTCCCTGGGACAATCGAGATGCAAAGGCTTGCAGGGCGTGGTTCATGGCATTCGTGTCTACGCGTCGAGCGTGGCTTAGCAAACGGATAAGCGAGAAAGACAGGGGAAACAAAAGTACTCACAAGGCCACGCCCACTGCCCCAACAACACTTGGTAGTGAAACAGGGCTCTAGAAGCTAGATCCGAACGGTCTCCGTCGAACGAGATGCACTGCTCATCTAGTTCCTTCAGAATGTCTTGAAACAAGTGGTCGATGGCATCCAAGCTTTCTTTCTCTCCCTCTAGGACAGAGACAGAAGGTGGTGATGTAAGACTTTGCCGAAGACTCAGCCACCACGACACAATCAGCGCTAAGCGAAAAAAGGACGAACATGTCACCCATCAGCAATTCAAGTCTTGAAATGACGATCCGGAACATGATTGCTTACCAGTCTCATATGCTACCATTGGGCCAAGCCCACCGAATTCGAATGCCGCCTTCCGCTGCCTATGAGCGATGCCTGTCAGGGTATCCGCCAACCAAGAAGTCGCTGCGTACTTGATGACAACAAGAACCTTCCTTTCAGTTGGGAGATTGGGGATTGCCAGATGATGTTGAGGTTCTTTTGCAATTCTCTTCAGGACCTGGAGCTCCTGACCCATATAGAGATGGTGGTACGCAGAGCTGAGCAGACACAGACACTCCGTCATCATGGGATCACTCTTCATGCTTTGCGTACCTTCAGCGTGAGGGTGACTGCGCCATAGAGTCTCCCACGCTTGAAGGCTCCTCTCCATCTTTGCACAGTATTCGCGGTCAAGGACAGGAGCCATTTCAGGAGAGTAGCGTTCTCTAGCACAGATGTTCGCCACGAGAGCACCAATCAATGTGAGAAGCCCGAATGAGCTCATGGCTACCGCGGGATACTCGCCAGTGAAAACTCGTCTCGAGGTTTCGACGAGATTGACTGGTTTGTACGCCTGCCATTCCTTGTTGTGGGCCCATTCTTCAGCTGACGGTGCTCGCCAGAGGCTGTCGTTTGAGGGGACGATCATCTCCGCTGTGACTTGAGGTGCGGCGATACATGTTGATTCAGGGTCGAGGAGCGATATGGCTGCGTTCAGAATGCAAGTCCAGCTTGCAAGTCTGTACATATAAATGCAGGGAGTCAGATGTCGTATTGCATCAGTGGAGGGCCAGAAGCTCACTGACCTGCTTAACGTCTCTATAAAGATCCAGTCCTTCCAATCAGGGTCCTGAGCTGACTGGACTCCACGAACTTGCATTTCTACTGCGCGCAGTAACTTGAAAACATCAGTATGAGGTGACCTTGAGATAACTTCAAAGCCAGTGGACGGAAGACGCCTGACTTACATCTGTTACAAGCGAGAATTGTCGTTGCGCTTGTCGCGCATACCTGGGGTTGGCTGAAAAAGCTCCAAACTGAATACACAATAGGGCAGTCTGTATTGGCCACAACTCTGAGATAGAGCTCTGCAAGAGGTCTTGCTCGTACTGGAGGAAGAATGAGAACCGAGCACAGAGGGACGAAAGAAACACAAAGGTTGAGCTACGCACCTGAACTAGGAGATGGCAGGAAGCTTCATAGGCCTTAGAAGCAGGACCATGCTCTGATACAATGCAGCCACCGATGGCCAGCATGCCCAAAAGCAAAGATGCTGCAAGATAGTGTCGCAACTAGTTAGTTAAGCCTATTTGCTGCCTGCTGTGCATGCTGCCTACCTGGAGTAGCTGAAAGGATGAAAGTCGGCTGATGCACTATGGGCGTATGTATGTCAAAGTGTTCGAAGTACGCGTTGATCCAACGTGAAATCTGATTGCGACTGAGACAGATTGAGTCTGAAGTACTAATTGCAGTGCCCTTGGCCTTGGCGAAAGCGTTGTTGACGGCAGTGGCACCGTCATCTGAGCATCTGAAAAGATGAGGTGTGTCATAGGAAGATTGGTACTGAGGTAGGCTCTCGGGAGCGTCGAAGAATAGTGAGACTGGTGCTACACGTCGACTTGGATCTAAGAGGATGCATGGTTCTGCAGAAGGGGGTGAGATGATGGTGTTGGTACTGAAGTCAAACATCAAGTCTGTGACGCCCCTCAAGTCGAAATCGTCTAGGTAGATCTCAGATATGAATGAGTCTCCGAGCATTGGAAAGTCGGGGAGATCGACGTGCTGTGCCCCCGAGCCAGGATTGATCTCAGATGTGGTGGGCCCGGTGGTTCTTGAAGAGGCTCCTTGGCTGAGTCGACCTGTTTCGTCAGCTTGCTGAGCGACGATAGCGGTATCTAGAGCTCGATCGTCCTTGCTTATTGTAGCACTCTGATCTGCATTCGATTGAGGCGAGCTCAACTCGGACTCGGCTGTATCTTCATCTCCTGATTGGCGAGCTACGATAGAACCATCACTAGATCCACCGCATTGAGGAACAACCAGAATCGTAGTACTGATCTCGCCTATTTGGCTGCTGTCAATGAGATCAGTGGTCACACCAGAATTCTCCACATCATTGAGACCTTCTCTTTGTGGTTCAGTCTGATCAACCGGGTGACAACTGCCTTCTAAGCTGGGAGTTTGATGTAAGTACTCATGACCAGGACCTCAAATTTACTTCCTGACCTACATCAAAATATCATCTATTGACTTTCGAAAATCATGTTCTGCACTGGCCTGAGTGAAGCCCTCTTCATGTTGTGATGTCGATAAACCTTGAGCAGGCTTTCCTGGGCACTTCTTTTGATGTCGACGTAGAACATCTGTCCTGCCAAAACTAGCGCCGCAAGGTAGACATTTGAAAGGCTTTCGATTCTCATCTGACCCATTTCTATCAGCTGAAAGATCCGATGGAAGAGGTGACCAGAAGACTTACGTGACGCAACGTGCCGTATGAGATGCTCCGCCCTGATAAATGTTTTCTGGCAATAGGTGCACCTATGTGGACGCGGACGACCCGGCTGTGCTTGGCCATCTTCACTTGCTTAATGTTCAGGATGTATCAGAAAGTTGCTCTTACGTCATCAAGAGAGGTGGGCGGGTGCTCACAGCTTCTAACTCCCCGCCTAAAGGCTGACTTCTTCGTCTCTCGTGGAGACGACCGGGCGTTGTCTCGTTGTCGACTCATTTCCACTGATACAGCCTCTGTGCCGTCTTTTCTGTCGTCCTCATCTCTTCTCTCAAATGTGGTGAGCAAGTAGGGATATTACTGGCGAATCAAGAAAGATGGAAGTTGTCTTCAGCGCTTTCGGCAATTGAAGGAACGGACATGGTGTTTGCGGGGATCCGAGACGCTAGGACCCGGGGTAGGCGGTGCTGATTCAGGCCTGACTCAACAGGTGTATCCGTAGATGGGGCGCTTTCCTAAGTGCCGCTGTTCGTATGTTGTACGAAGCGTGGGAAAGTGCTTGTCGCTAATGTCTTGGCTTTGCAGCAGTGTGTTTGCGCGGTTTGACCGAAATCCAGCCAGTCCAAATCCCTCTGCGTGGGTCAAATCGAAATCCATGTCTGTTGACGATGAGTTTGACAGTGTTATTTCTCCGAGTTTACTTGATCTTTGAATGAATTTTAGGTTGACTGTTATTTGAAATGTAATCATATCATTATAGCAGGTGCTATGTTTTGGATATTCGATACAAGGTCTTATTTGCGATGACTATTCATCTAAAGTCTCTTCGTGTCCGCGCCTTTCAACCACCGTTAACACAAAGCCTCTGCTTGACAATCTCCGACACCTCATCCCACTTCTCATCGACCAATTTTTCAGCATCGTTTTTCCAAAGATACAGATTCTGCATCATGGTGGCGTTGATGTCGAATTCCTCCTTGAAAGCTTTGCTGTCCTCGTCATGCAAGTTGTGCCATATTTCTCTCTGCTTGATCCCAGTCGCCTGTGCTTCGGCAACGTAGTCGTGTCGGATTTCGAAATAGGTATGCAAGGCTAGGGGGATGTTACCTGCACATTTTGAGAGACATTTGGCTATGGTGGCTCCGTCTTCGATGGCTTGGCTAGCACCTTGAGTCGATGTGGGTAGAAAGGGGTGTGCAGCATCGCCCATCAAAGTAACCAGCCCGGAGTCTGCGACCCATTTGTCGAGGCAAGGGCGGTACACGAGCTTCCAGTCAATGACTGAAGGCATCTTTTCCCACACTCTTCTGACAGCAGGATCCCATCC